AAAACGGAAAGGCTACCCACTGTATGGGAGAGCATAATTGCCAATGATATATCAGATAAGGGGTTAATTTCCAATACATATAGAGTGCTCATACAACTCCACAAAAGGAAGACAAAGAATTCAATTAAAAAATGGGCAGAGGAAGTAAATAGACACCTCTCCACAAAGGACATACAAATGGCTAAGAGACATATGAAGAAATGCTCATCATCACTAATCATCAGAGAGATGCAAATTAAAACAACAATGAGGTATCATCTCACACCTGTCAGAATGGCCGCCATCAACAAAGCATCAAACAACAAGTGTTGGCGAGGGTGTGGTGAAAAGAGGACTCTAGTACACTGCTGGTGGGAATGCAGACTGGTGCAGCCACTATGGAAAACAATATGGTGTTACCTCAAAAAATTAAAAATGGAACTTCCATTTGACCCAGTGATCCCACTTCTAGGAATATACCCTAAGAAGCCTAAAACACCAATCAGAAAGAATATATGTACCCCCATGTTTGTAGCAGCACTATTTACAATAGCTAAGATCTGGAAACAGCCCAAGTGCCCATCGGTAGACGAATGGATAAAAAAGCTGTGGTACATATACACAATGGAGTACTACGCAGCTGTAAGAAAGAAAGACCTCTTATCCTTTGAGACTACATGGAATGACCTGGAAAGTATCATCCTAAGTGAAACAAGCCAAACAGAGAAAGAAAAGTTTCATATGATCTCACTTATTTGTAGAATATAATGAACATAACAGTCTGAGGAAGGGGGTAGTCCCAGAGACGCGGAAGTGGGATACAGACTGACAATCCCCTAAATAGGGGGGTGGTGGGGAAGAGATGAACCACAGAACTTATATGCATGCAGGCATGAACAGTGGACATGAACAACAAACTGGGGAAAGGGCAGGGAGGGAGGGGGAGGGGGGAATCAGTGGGGGGAAAAGGAGAAACATCTGTAACAAAAATTAATTAATAAAATAAAATAAATAAAAAGAAGAACCTAAAAGATGAAAAACTCTGTAGAAAAAGGTAACTTGAGCCCTGGCCGGTTTGGTTCAGCGGTTAGAGCGTCCGCCTGCGGTCTGGAGAGACCCGGGTTCGGTTCCCGCTAAGGGCATGTACCTCGGTTGCAGTTTGTCCCCGGCCCTGGTTGGTTGTGCGGGTGGCAGCCGCTCAATGTGTCCCTTTCACATCGATGTTTCCCTCTCTCTCTCTCCCTCTCTCTCCCTCCTACTCTGTCTGTACAAGAAATGGAAAAATGTCCTCGGATGAGGATTAAAAAAAAAAAAAAGAAAAGAAAAAGGTAACTTGAGTAAGTACACAAGCTAACACCTGGTGTTCATTGAAAATAAACCCAGTAATCTTCTTTAACTCGTTTCAAAGATTTTCTGTAACAATCTCTCTCACCCTCCTCCACACTTGTGACCATGATAATCTCAAGTTTTATTTCTGCTCACATAAAACAACTCTAGTTTTATTATGTTTGGCCTGATTATTTACATATCACAGCAGGTGTTAATTAACCACACAGGCCTCCTTGAAATTGCTTTGCAAAGCTACAGTAATATGATTTTGAATAAATACCAAGCCGGTTTGGCTCAGAGGTTATAGCGTCGACCTGCAGTCCAGAGTGACCAGGGTTTGGTTCCCGCTAAGGGCACGTACCTCAGTTGAAGTTTTTCCCCAGCCCTGGTTGGGTCGTGTGGGTGGCAGCCACTCGATGTGTCCCTTTCACGACGATGTTTCTTTCTCTCCCTCCCACTCTATCTGAACAAAATATCGAAAAATGTCCTCGGGTGAGGATAAAATAAATAAATAAATAAAAATAAACTAGGCACGCAAAAAAAATAATTCTGTCACAACTGGATATGCATGTGTATGAAAATGAAGCTCAACCTCTTATCAAATCACACACAAAAATTAATATAAGATGGAGCATAGATCTAATGTAGAAGCTGAAATGATAAAGTTCCTAGAAAAAGCTGTAGGAGAGTAACTTTATGACTTAAGGGTAGGCTTTAAGAATATGAAGAAGTGCCTGGCTGGTGTGGCTCAGTGGTTGAGCGTAAACAAATGCACCATGAGGTTGCCGGTTCGGTTCCTGGTCAGGGTACAGGCTCAGGTTGTGGGCCCAATCCTCAAGAAGGGGGGCATGCAGGAGGTGGCCAATCAATGTTCTCTCTCATCGATGTTTCTATCTCTCTCTCCCTCTCCCTTCCTCTCTCTCTAAAATCAATAAAGGAGCCCTGGCCAATTTGGCTCAGCGGTTAGAGCGTCAGCCTGTGGTCCAGAGAGACCCGGGTTTGGTTCCCGCTAAGGGCACGTACCTTGGTTGCAATTTGTCCCTGGCCCTGGTTGGATTATGTGGGTAGCAGCCACTTGATGTGTCCCTTTCATGTCGCTGTTTCTCTCTCCCTCTCCCTCTCCCTCTCCCTCTCCCTCTCCCTCTCCCTCTCCCTCTCCCTCTCCCTCTCCCTCTCCCTCTCCCTCTCCCTCTCCCTCTCCCTCTCCCTCTCCCTCTCCCTCTCCCTCTCCCTCTCCTTCTCCCTCTCCCTCCCACTCTATCTGAACAAAAAATGGAAAAATGTCCTCAGGTGAGGATAAAAAAATAAATAAATAAAATCAATAAAGAAAAAAAATTTTTTTTAAATATGTAAAGGCAAGCCAAGACTGGAAGAAAATAGGGTATAGGGAAAACATGTACCTTACAAAGGTCTTGTATCCAGAATATATAATAACTCCAGCAACTCAATAATAAAACTAAGCTGTAGGCTTAATATTTGTGCATCTTTTGTTATGTATGCGATACTTCAATAAAAAAAACAATTATTTTAAAAACTCATAGAAGTGTTGAACTGAAGATCAGACACATTTGAAAAAAGATAGATGAGCTGGATGATACATCAGAAGATATTATGTAGAATGCAGCTCCAGGAGACAAAGAATTAGAAAATATGAAAAAGAAGTTTAAATTTACATAGTACAGAGAGTAAGAAGATCTAACAATGTCTAATTGGAGTTCCAAAATGAGAGGAGAAAACTGAGCAGAGGCACTATGTGAATAGACAATGGTTGAACATTCTCAGACTCATGGAAGACATTCAGTTCACAGCTATAAGTTCATCAAATCTCAAGTAGATTTAAAAGAAAACCATACTTAGATACACCATCAAAGACAAAGTGGTCAGATTACTTTCTTTTTATCCTCATTCGAGGACATTTTTCCATTTTTTTGTTCAGATAGAGTGGGAGGAAGAGAGAGAGAAACATGGATGGGAAAGGGACACATGGAGTGGCTGCCTCCCGCATAACCCAACCAAGGCTGCGGACAAACTGCAATCGAGGTACACGCCCTTAGTGGGAACCGAACCTGGGTCTGTCTGGACCGCAGGCCAATTTAGAGTATTACAGATGTGCCCCACTGCCCCTCTCCACCGGTTCCCACCTCACCCCAGGCCTTCACCACACTATTGACTGTGTCCATGGTTTATACATACATGCATATAACTTCTTTGGTTAATTTCTGCCTGCCCTCCCTACCCCTTCCCTCTGAGATCCATTAGTCTATGCCACATTTCCATGTCTCTAGACCTATATTGTTTATCAGTTTATTTTGTTCATAAGATTCCACATATAAGTGAGATCATGTGATACTTACCTTTTTCTAACTGGCTTATTTCGCTTAGAATAATACTCTCCAGGTCCCTCCATGCTGTCTCAAAGGGTAAGAAATCCTTTTTTTTTAATCCTCACCCGAGGACATTTTTTTGCATTTATCTTCAGATAGAGCAGGGGGGAGAGAGGGAGGAAGAGAGAGAGAGAAGCATCGACGTGAGAGAGACACATCGACTGGCTGCCACCCACATGACCCCAACCAGGGCCGGGGACAAACTGCAACCGAGGCACATGCCCTTAGTGGGAACCGAACCCAGGACTCTTTGGTCCGCAGGTCGATGCTCTAACCGCTGAGCCAAACTGGCCAGGGCAGAAATCCTTCTTTTTTATAGCTGCATAGAATTCCATTGTGTAAATGTACCACAGCTTTTAAAAAATCTATTCGTCTACTGATGGACACTTGGGTTATTTCCAGATCTTAGCAATTGTAAACAGTGCTGCTATGAACATAGGGGTACATATATTCTTTCTGATTGGTGTTTCTGAATTCTGAGGATATATTCCCAGAAGTGGGATCAATGGGTCAAATGGCAGTTTGATAAATAATACTCTTAAATCAACTACATGGTCCAGTTAAAAGACAAATATTGCCATACTGGGTAAAATAATACTTAACCTGTTTCCATTGCCACTCTCAGCCTAGTGTGATCTCCTGGGTAGTTTAACTGGAGGACCCTTCCTAGAACTGAGCCCACATTCCTGCTTCATGACACTTAAATAGCTTGGTGGATGAAACAGCCAAACTGAAGCTGCTCAGCCTTGAGAAATGATTTTTTATTTATATACTCATCCAAGGATATTCCTCCATTTATCTTCAGATAGAGTGGGAGGAAAGGAGGAAAAGGGAGAAAGAGAGAGAGAGACATCGATGTGAGAGAGACACATTGAACTGCAACCAAGGTATGTGCTTGACCAGAATCCAACCTGGGACTCATTGGTCCATGGGCCATCGCTCTAACGGCTGAGCCAAATCGGCCAGGGCAAGAAATCTTTTTAAGTGAAATAATAAACTTTCCTAACTGCTTAAACCAGCTTTAGGGTTATCTGTTACTTATAGTCAAAAGCCTTCCAACTGATACAATGTCTTTTTTTTGTTTGTTTGTTTTTAACTCCTAGAAATTTCTGTTAAAATTATGTTTGTTCAACATTTTCTGTATTAGCCAATATCCCTATTATTGAAAGTATCAGTCAGAGGCTGGAAGACCGTTCAGTGAGGATGTTACAGAAAGGATTCAAGCACTGGGCAATGTTTAGATGAATGACATTTAAGAACCATACCAACTCTAACATTCTTGGAGTCTATAGTTTTATACTTGTTTACCGAAGGAAGATGTCTTCCATAGTGGCAACAGAGGCTCCAAAGCTGGAGATGCCCAGCTCTTCCTGCATCAGTTCCAAGTCAGTAAATAGCAATTCAAATCTGGAAGGGAAAAGCAGATTTATTCCTTAAAGGTGGGAGGTGAATCCCTCCCATCACCCTTGGCTTGCTATAGGGGGAAAAGCATGGACTATGGAGTCAAAAGATATTTGTTCAAATCTCAACTTTGTCACTCTCTAGCTTCAAGACTCAGAACTTGAACAGTCAGGGGAATGGGTGGAGTTAAGAGTTTGCATTGTAAATAAACTGGGGCTGGGTTAGAGTCCAGATTCTGCCACTTAACTAGTTACTTCATCCCTCCAAATCTTTTTTCATCTATATGGTAGTTATTACCTAATTCACAGAGTTATTGTAAACATCGAGATAAAAGTAAAAACACTTAGCAAAGTAGCCAGCCTGTTTTACATGGTCAATATTTGTATCTTCAGTGTGTTCAATATTTTGTTCTTTATAGCAAAACAAAACTAATAGGTAAATTTTGCCTGTTCTTTATCTGCACATAAATGGAAGCAGTCTCTTTTGTATCCAGGTTCATCTATGCAACATGTTTTTGAGGTTCAACCATATTGTTGCATGTATTAATAGTTCATTTTTGTAAATTCAACAAAAGGGATATACCTCAATTTGTCTATTGATTCTCCTGTTGATTGACATTTGGATTGTTTCCAAGACAGGATGCTTATAATAAATAAGTCAGGTGCTGTAAACACTCTTCTTTTTTTTTTAGAGAGAGGAAGGGAGCCCTGGCCGGTTTGGCTCAGCGCTTAGAGCGTTGGCCAGCGGTCCGGAGAGACCTGGGTTCGGTTTCCGCTAAGGGCACGTACCTTGGTTGCAGTTTGTCCCCAGCCCTGGTTGGGTCGTGTGGGTGGCAACCACTCGATGTGTCGCTCTCACATCGATGTTTCTCTCTCTCTCTCTCCCTCTCACTCTATCTGAACAAAATATCGAAAAATGTCCTCGGGTGAGGATAAAAAAAAAAGATAGAGAGAGGAAGGGAGAGGGAGAGAGAGATAGAAACATTGATGAGAGAGAACATGGATTGGCTGCCTCCTGCATGCCCCACACTGAGGATCAGGCCCACAACCTGGGCATGTGCACTGACCAGGAATCGAACTGGCAACCTCTTGGTGCATGGGTCTATGCTCAACCACTGAGCCACACCAGACAGGCTATAAACATTCTTTGACATATCTTTTGTCTGGACATGTTTTCATTTATCTTAGATAACATGGTAGATAAAAGTGGTCTGTAAATTCTTTGGCACTTCTCCCATGGAAAGGTGGAGTTTATTTTTCATTCTCTTTCATCTGGACTGGCCTTACTGACTTGCCTGATTAAGAACGTAATGGAAGTAATGAACTTAGAAAAAGCCTTCAGTTGCCCTGGCCGGTTTGGCTCAGCTGTTAGAGCATTGGCCCCGGACCAAGGAGTCTAAGGTTCAATTTCTGTCAAGGGCACGTACCTCTGTTGGGGTTCAGGCCGGCCATGGTCAAGGTCGTGTGGAAGGGAGTCAGTCAATGCATCTCTCTCATAGATGTTTCTCCCTCTACCTCTCTTAATCTCCCTCCCTCCCACTCTATCTGAAGATAAATGGAAAAAATATCCTCCAGTGAGGATTTAAAAAAAAAAAGAAAAAGCCTTTAGGCTCTGCCTTAATGTATCTGAGAGCCCCAAGCCATCTTGAAAAGCCTACCTTAAAACAACCATGCCACAGAGAACTTGTGTAAATGCTCTCCCTGGTCAACAGTTCCAGCTCCAGCTAGGCCCAGCCTTCCAGAAATCCTTGCAGAAGCATCAGACATGGGAGTAAAGCCATCCTGAAACCTCCAGGTAAATCCATTTGCCAGCTCATATTTTGTCAAAAACTTTTGTGTCTATGTTCTTGAGGACTATTAAATTAAATTAGTCTGTAACTTTCTGTTGTAAAACCTCCACCAGGTTTTGGTATTAGAGTTGTACTGCTTTTAAAATGAGTTGGGCCCAGCTGGTGTGGCTCAGTGGTTAAGCATCAACCCATGTACCAGGAGGTCACCAGTTCGATTCCCGGTCAGGGAACATGCCCAGGCTGTAGGCCGATCCCCAGTAGGGGGCATGCAGGAGGTGGCCAATTGATGTTCTCTCTCATCAATGTTTCTCTCTCTCTCTCCCTCTACCTCTCCTTTCCTCTCTAAAAATCAATTTTAAAAAATAGGGGGAAAAATGGTGGCAGAGTGAATGGAAGCTACAAAGATGATCTCCCAAGACCAAACTGTAATTACAACTAAAATAAAAACAACTCATCGGAAAAAGCAACAGAAAAGCAGTTGGAGAGTACCATATAACGAGAGGGTGGCGGGCTGGGAGCCCACGGACAGCAGTGGTCTTAGCTGTGAGCAGCGCCTTCGGGGTTAAAATCCCAAGCCAGCTCCACAGCACAGAGGGCCAGGACAGAGCATTAAATTAGCCTCAGCCACTCACCTTGGGGTCTGGCAGGGGGAGAGCAGACTGGACTGGAACTCAGTGGGGACACCCGAAATTTGGAAGGCGCTAAGAGTTTTTGCTGAGACTCAGCCACATAGGATGGTGGCCAGCTTGCTCCTTCCTGGAGCTGTGGGGAGCAGCCCCTCCCTCGGAGATTCAACCCCACCAAGTGAGCCAAAGAAATGCAAATTGAGGCTTATTACCAACCAGCATCTGCCCGACCCTCTGGAAATCCTCTGACGCTGAACACGTGAGGGAGTTTTTCATTCAACTGAGAACCCAAGGCTCTTTAAATATCTGAGATTAATAGCCTCCAGGAAAAAAGCTAGAGGATAATTGCACTTTTCCTGGGCTTGTAAATCTACCCAGGAAAGTAAAACTTGACAGTGGTGTTTAACATGGGTCCTCCCATGCTCATCCAAACCCAGTAGAGAGAGCCACAAACAGCAGAACACCAACACCCACAGGGAAAATTTGGCAGGCTCCAAAACACACTCAGATAGCCAAAATGGTGAAACAAAGAAACAAATCCCAAATGAAAGAACAAGAGAACTCTATCAAAGATGAGATAAATGAAAAACAGTTAAGCCCTGGCCGGTTTGGCTCAGCGGTTAGAGCGTCGGCCTGCGGTCCCGAGAGACCCGGGTTCAGTTCCCGCTAAGGGCACGTACCTTGGTTGCAGTTTGTCCCCGGCCCTGGTTGGTCGTGCGGGTGGCAGCCACTCGATGTGTCCCTTCACATCGATGTTTCTCTCTCTCTCTGTTCCTCTCTCTCCCTCCCGTTCCATCTGAACAAAAAATGGAAAAATGTCCTCGGGTGAGGAAAAAAAAAAAAGAAAGAAAAACAGTTAAGCAAGTTATCAGAGGTAGAATTCAGAGCCATGATCTTGAAGAAGCTCAACAGCATGAGTAAGGACATCAGCACCATGAGTAAAATTATAGAAACATTGAAAACCAACCAAGTGGAAATGAAGAATGACACAGCAGAAATACAGAACACACTGGAAGGACTAACCAGCAAGTAGAGGAAACTGAGGACCAAATCAGTGAATTAAAAGACAAGTTAGAAGAAATTAACCAATCAGAAAACCAAAAGGAAAAAAACAATTACAAAATAGGAAGACTGCTTAAGAGAACTGTGGGGCAACTGGAAATGTAATAACATTCGCATCATAGGAGTCCCTGAAGAGGAATAAAATGGGCAAGGGTTAGAGAATATATTTGAAGAAATAGTGACAGAAAACTTCCCTAATTTGGTGAAGGAAGAAGGCATTCAAGTTCAAGAAGCACAGAGAGCCTCAAGTAAGAAGAACCCAAACAGGCCCACACCAAGACACATAGTAATTAAAATGCCAAAAATTAAAGACAAAGAGAGAATCCTAAAGGCAGCAAGAGATAAGCAACAGGATACCTATACAGGAACTCCCATAAAGTTCTCAGCTAACTTCTCAACAGAAACACTACAGGCCAGAAGAGAATGGCATGAAGTAATCAAGGTCATGAAAAACAAAGATCTGAATCCAACGCTACACTACCCAGCAAGGCTATCATTCAGAATAGAAGGTAAAATAAAGAGTCGTCCCCCCCCCCCAAAAAAAAGGCTAAGGAAATATATTAGCACCAAACCAGCACTGCAAGAAACATTAAAAGGACTGCTATAATTAGTAGAATAAATAGGAAGAAAAATATAACCACACTAAACAAAAATGGCAATAAATAAGAACATATCAATAATCACCTTAAATGTAAATAGATTGAATGCTCTGATAAAAAGACACAGTGTAGCTGACTGGATAGGAAAGCATGACTCACATATATGTTGTTTACAAGAGACCCATCTCACAACAGACTCACATAGGTTGAAAATGAAGGGATGGAAAAAAATCTTCCAAGCAAACGGAAAGGAAAAAAAACCCTGGGGTAGTAATACTCATATCTGATAAATTAGATTTCAAAATAAAGGCCATAACTAGAGACAAAGAAGGCCACTACATACTATTGAAAGGATCTATCCAAAGGGAAGATATAACCTTGGAAAACATATATGCAACCAATATAGGAGCACCAAAATATATTAACTATCTTCTGGAGGACTTCAAAGGAGAAATCAACAGCAGTACAATCATAGCAGGGGATTTCAACACCCCGCTGACTTCACTGGATAGATCATCTAGACAAAAAATTAACAAGGAAACACAGACTCTAAGTAAAGCACTAGATCAAATGGTTTTAATAGATATCTACAGAGAATTACACCCCAAAACTACAGAATTCACATTCCTCTTAACTGCACATGGGACATTCTCAAAGATAGACCACATGTTAGGGCACAAACTAAGTCTCTACAAGTTCACAAAGATTGAAATCATATTAAGCATCTTCTCAGATCACAATAGCATGAAACTAGAAATCAATTGCAATAGAACATGCAAAGACATTTGAAAACATGGAGGCTAAATCGCATGTTATTGAACAATGAATGTGTTACCATGGAGATCAAGGAAGAAATTAAAAACTTCCTGGAAACCAATGAAAATGAACACACAACACAAAATCTATGGGATGCAGTGAAAGCAGTTCTGA